TGTGATCACAGCTCTGACCAAAGCAGGCAGCTGACAGACTGCACCACCCCGTCAACAGGCCGTATGCAAATGCCTCACCCACACACACACGAGCGGGCATCTGTGCTGCCACCAACACTAATGTATACAAGAACACTTGAAGGCACCACGCTGTAACTGTGGAGCACTGAGATCCACTGCTGCTTCTCCACTCATCACATGTCACGGTGCCATTAGAAATTTACACCTCTCCTTCGACTCACCCACATGTAAAGTCTGTCAAGTGGCACATGCAAACACTTCCCCAGCTCCTGGTTTTGTACTTTGTAAATTAATACGACGGAGAGGGAAGTGTGAGGAGAGACGGGGCATCTGGAATAACACTCATTCCCAGTTCATGTTCCCAGTATTCCTCTGATCTCTTCCATATGAAACTACCGGCAAATGACTTACACACTATCAGCAATGTCTTTGGGGTGATGTCAGAAGGGGCTGGGGGCTTCTCTTACATTTGATGGTAGTAGTAGTGGTAGTAAATAGTAGTAGTGTGTTATGTGGATGTTTTTTCGCCTTGAATGTCTTCTATCTCCATGGATACAAGCAGACCAGCAGAAAAGGTGACCCAGCTCTCCGTATAAATACATGTTATTCAAGGTACTTTTGATCAATAAAACATCAGCTGAATAAATGTAAGATAGATAAGTTGAAAGACATACTGTAGAAAGTCCCAGGCAAAGCAAAAACATTTCCATGGAGACAAGCAGGTGGCCACCTTTAAGAACTTGCAGTGTTAGCATAAGTAATAAAACTAGGCATTATATTACATACACAGCTATGCATTGGGGGGATTGCTTGTGCCATAGAGACTGGGTGGAGGCGCTTGGCGTATTGGCTTTTTCCCACTGTGCCCCTGTGTGCAACCCCCTCTCTCTGCACTCACACAGGTGCCAATACCACAGCTCTGCGTGTTTTTTAGAGTTCATAACCCCGAATACAATACAGAACAGGTCAAAATCATCACCCTGACCTTTAGAGATTTTTAGTGTGCAAAATCAATAAGGCAACAGACCCTATATTGATGCTGTCTGTGGTAAGGCTTAGTGTTTGGAATGATTTTGACTGTAAAATACTGATCGAAGCACTATAATGTCATTTGTGAGGATGACTGGAGGATTAACCAACTATGGGTGGAATGAAATGGTGGCATAACAAGTAGACAAACTGACAGACATTGTGTTTGACAATGTGTCCATTTGGAAGATTCATTCATAGTTTACAACATTCATGTGATTAATAATGTATTATAAAGCGTCTTTTCCAGATGCTCGATGTTGCTTTAATTTCATGCATTATTTATTCTCTCCACACTCACGATGGTAAGCTACACATGTAGTCACAGCTGCCCTAGGGTAGACAGACTGAAATGTGGCAACCAATTTTCACCATTGTCCCCTTCGACCTATCAGTCCCTTACACACGGGCAGGGTGGTGAAATGTCTTGCCTTGGGCATAGCGTCACTGGTTTAAGCAGGGTTTGTAGTGCCTTCTTTTGGATATTTGGAGACAGAAAAAAAGATATCGGTGGATAGCTGTAGTAGAGGGATTAACCTACAATCTTTAAGTAATAGCTAACAATAACCACTAATGTGTTTTGATTGAAAAACGTCCAATACTCCAATTTCTCTCTAACTATATTAAGCTTTATCTATCCACCCAAATCAAATGAGTTAATCTATGCATATTTGTTCCACTCCAGAGACATACAGTTCTAATTGAAAAAGACCACCTTAGTTTTATTTTAATTAGAATAGCTGAAAAAGTGAGTCACACCAGTCCTCCCCACTGTATACAGTATACGCAAAAGTTACATACTTCTTTGTGTTGTGTTGGCACTACTTCTTGCACTTCCTATGGCTCTCCCTGAGGTCTGCTCCAGTCTCAGTCCCAGCTGGGTACAAGGAGAGCTTTTATCACCTCACTGGAGTGTCTGTGGAGAGCACGCCTGGAGAGGTGCTTCCTATTCACTCGTCCTGCCTCCGGTCCTCTGAGGGAAGGCCTCTCGAGAAAACACTTTAAGATCAACTCCAAAACAAGGCAGCAAACAACACCACTCTATGCTATATCACATCCTATACTGGGGAGATCTGGGCCACACAAGAAGCCCAAGGAGCTTGTTAACATTATATAGAAGTGTTGTACTATTCTTCTTATCTTCATGACCTCAATGTTAATTTCTGTACATAGATGAATGGCTATTTGTTAAAGGTGGACAATGTAACTTTTCTGGAGAGGGGTCCACCATCAGCTGTCCCTATGGAAATGTATTATTGCATTGTCTCTTCCACAGTATGCAATTCAGTGGGGAAAGGGTCAGACGGACTTTTTTTTTCTTATGCAGCTGAAAGAATAGGAGAAGACATACAGTGTACAGGTACTTGTACCCCACAGCACTATATAACTAGTATTCAGTGGTGGAAGAAATATTGAATTTTGTTACTAAAGTAAGATACCGGAGCAAAATAAATACTCAAGTTAAAGTAATAGTATCACATGAAAAAATCTACTTAAGTAAAAGTATTACAGTACCTGTATAAAAATGTTTTTTAAAGAGTAAAAAGTAAAAGTATTTCTTTTGTGCAGAGTTTGAGATCTAATACAGCTTCAAATGTTGAGATTTTGATACAGATTTGTGCTGAATTTTGTTCAACAGAAAGAATTTAATTCATATTTTTTTCTAGCAGCTTTTATTGTTTGCTCCAACTATGACCTTGGTAAAAATAAGCCCCCAGGCTTCTCAGCTGGTCTCATACAATAATAAAAAACACTTCTACTTTTCAGTCCAGTTCAAAAATGTAAAAAAAAGAAGAAAAAAAAAGGCAAAACTAAGAAGTCCAGAGGTAGAAAATACAAAGATACCTGCTCTCTGATGTAGTGAAGTAAAAGTATCCATTTTAAAATCTACTTAAGTAAAATGCAGATACCTAAACTGTATAATTAAGTTACTTTACTACTTTTACTTTGTTATGCTCCACCTCTGATAGTATTAAGCATTAGCAGCAGATTTGTAATTGTGAATATGGCTGCAAAGGTTAAAAACTTTTCAGCACAACTTTGATGACTCATAAAGAATTAGTTTGGAGAAGTAATTATGAAATGAAATTAGAAACACATAATTAGTTTGTTTGCATTATGGTGATTAAGTTTGTCATCCAATCACAATAATGAATAACAATAATCACTTTACAATAATTGAAATCCATTGCCTTATTTTCAAAGCAGACCTGGACCTAGTAGACCTGGACCTATAAAACATAGCCTTTATGAGAACGGCCATCATTTTTTTCTAATCTTACCCATTTTTCTGGTGTTAAGCAGAGATGAACTTTCCAGCACAGAGAATCCTCCATGCTTCACTATATTTGATATAAGCAGCCGGTTTCATACTGTGACAATAATGAGAGGCCCTATTAAAGCGCTGGTATCATTAGCACAGTGTAAAGAGTCGTGTGCAGAGCAGAGTTCACATGTGCACATCACACCAGTGTTAGACATGGGCCACTCCGCAGCCTTAAGTGACTCAGATCAAACCCTTTCTCTCTCCCACTATGTGAATGATGTCCACACAGCACCACAGCTCCAGGGCACCAGACCTAATCAAGCACTGGGCATCAGGTCTGAACATAGGTGGACTGGACACAAACTGGTAGTGTTGGCTTTGAAGGTGTATTTAGTTACAGCACACTGCAAGTATTTTGTTATGTGCTTCAATCGCAATACTGTATTTTGAGTACTTAAAATACTTCTTTGTTGAGTTGCATTGTATATTTTTTGTGTAAAAATTAAACATAATATATGTTTGTAATTAATTTATTTACCACTGATTAGGGGAGGAAAAATTGCTCCTTCATATGTTACAGCTTTGTTTTTTCTTGTTTTCTCACACCATGCAGTTCAAAGCCATGTGTGATCAAGTATTGCAATGTATTATTTAGATTTTATTAACTGAACTGTATTTACCACCAAATGAAAAAGCAAATGTTCTGGTAAAATATACCTGTACATGTATTTCGTTACTTCCCAACACAATACTTCTACCCAAGTCATCATTGGAAATTACATATATTTTTTTAACAGGCTTAGTTTGCTTTTCTTTTTTTCATATATACGAGTATGTATTATATGGGGGTGGTATAGATTTGATGTAATTGTAACCAGAAGCATTTCCTGGCATCAGCACGCTGGGCAAAGGCATAGGACCCTTTCAGCCTCTAGGCCTCTGAAAAAGCTAAACAAACCTGATATATTCTGACGTATTATGGTGACACATAATTGATAGTCTAGTAAAATAAATGGCATATATATATAAATTACATGAAAGCACCTCAAACGATGTCAAATTATTTTTATTGTATACATGTCTGATCTTGAATAATCCAAGGAATAAGAGCCACAGTTTTGGCAAACTAAATGGCCCCAAAAATCTTTTTTCCCAGGGTCCCCACTAAGCCAAAAAAGCCCTGGTGGTGCTAGAAACTGAAAAAGAAACAGTAATTATTCCAGTAACAAAAGCTGGAGTAGAAGTTCTCCCAAAAGTAAAAGCATCAGTATGTGCAGTGCCAAAGTTATACTGCTGTTAAATACTTCTATACTACTTTGTTCACCTTTGCCAAGACAACAACCAAGCTCAGCCTTTTGTAGTCATAATACACAGCTTTAATGTTGTTTCTATCCGTGTGCTGGATAATTTAGTGGCCTATAAATTTGTATCTTATTGAAACTCCCCTGTCTGCTCCTGGATTATCATCTGTCAATCAGCTTTGCTGTTATGTGTGTACGTGTGTGCGTCTGTGCATGTGCGTGTGTTTGTGCCGGCGATGCTCACTCTGTGTAAAGATGATTGACACAGTTAATTTCACACATCAGGCAAACTGAAGGCACCGTTTCACATAGCACTTTGAATCATCATCTTCTGAAAAGTTGAAACCTACTTTTTAAACTACGTGCCTTTTCTCCTTTCACAGGACGAGTGCCGCAACTTTATGAAGGTGCTGCTCAGTCGAAGAGGAGGGCTGTTCGTGTGTGGGACCAACGCCTTCAACCCGCTCTGTGCCAACTACACTGTGAGTATAAGGAAGTGGCACTGGTAGTACTGCTTTTGTCTGGAGAAAAAAGTCTCACTAAGTGCTATCTAGACTTAAGGCCTGTCACGATAATTACTACATCGACTTATCTTTAGGTGTTCGTGAAATCCCTCAGTCGTCCAGTAAGATCCATAGCAAAGGAGAAATTCAATTCTGTCAGCTGCACAAAAGTTTTTGTATTTGATCATGATTTCTCTTTTACTATATCATCTTATCATTCAATATATGAAAGCAAAATTTTTGTTTATTTATATGTACTTTTTCTTTGCATTTTTTTTATTTTAGTGATATAAGATAAATTAAACAAATTAAACTAATATAAAAAATTATCACTTCCTTATGTGATTTGATTGTTGCAGCTCATGCCTTTTAATGATATTGTCTACACAAAAATTTTTTCTTTATTGTTATCGTGTCAGTGGCATAAATAAATTTGTAAATATTTTCAGTAAATGGACATTCGGTGTACAATATCTTAATCAAACTGACTATTTTTGCCTGTCTGTAACACAGTGTGAGCTATGGTGACTCAACAAACCAAACACCAAACAGCTCCATCTTGTTTGGGAACAATTTGCATTTTTGTTGGAATATTCATTTTTTCGATCTTGTAATCTGCATATTGTGGAATTACCCACATCAATGTTTAGTTTTCCTTCATTTACTAAAACTACAAATTTGCAGTTTTATTTTTTAAGCCACTTTTTGCAACTCACTGCAGAAGTATAGTTTTAAACAACAATGAACTACATGTGTATAGCTTACTGCAACATATTGTAACTAGCAAGCTAATTGGACAGGTTACAGATCACAATATATATTCAAAACTACAGATTTGAAAATTCACAATCTTCCTAATGAAAACCCACCATCATCACCAATTATTAACATTACATATGTATGTGAAACTACAGCTTGATTAGACTTGTTTGTTGAGCACAGTCCCTCCCGGCTTTATTTACCTTTATTTGTTCTCTAACATAAGGCTTGTACTTTCCATCGATTCAACTCCTGTTTTTTGTGGGTGGTTTAACTTTGTGGTCCGTCAGGCTTGTTAGCACTGAAAGTCAGACACATAATCTAGAACCACAGAGAGCACAGAGAGAAAAGGAAGAGGGGGCCAGGTTTCACTTGTATACCTGGTTATTTCCTGTGCTCTGAGCTGCAGGAGCTGTCTTAACTTATCCAGCCAAAAGCCCATTCAAGATCTGTGAACCTCCAGTCAATCCTGTCTCACTCACTAACTTAATGCTTCGTGTGATTGTGATGGAAAATGCCTCAATTATTTTACTCAAGGAATTTACTGAAAAAGCCCATATTACGCTGTTTTCTGATCTATGTGTTTTGTTTCATTCACACCTTAAACAAACCCTGTATATTTAGGTTATAGTTCTCTCAAACTGGAAACACACTGTTCCACCTTGTGATATCATGTGGTAATACAGCAAGTGGTGCACTGTGTTTTTAAACTCCATACACTGTCACTAGAGTAATTTGGATCATTTGAAGCTTGGAATTGTCGATCTCTACTGGACTAAAGGTAAGAGGTAGCTGTTAACTTGAAAAATTCTGCACAACACACAGACAGCCTAATAATTCAGGAATATGGTCAAACATGTGTGAATGAAACAAAACACAACTCAAGATTTGTTTTAATGAGGCAACAACATTCTAACATGGCTTAAAGCTCACAACAGTCCATATTGTGTAATATAGATGCATAGTTTCTGTTAGGGTGCTCATTTGCTTGTCTCTATGGCATTTAACTTGTCAATCTTGCATTAATTAAATTATAGGTGCAATTAGGGCTGTCGCGGTTTGGGAATTTCTCCTGCGGTACGGTATAGACTCTCTCCGATGAGGCGTTTGTTGTAGCGTGTTTAGCATGGGAGAAGTAACATTTGGCTTTGGAACAAGTGCCGCTGCCATCACTTCAGCTCTCATTGTGGCAACTCAGGTCAGAGTCCTGCACCAGGTCGGGTACGCACGGACTTAAGAGAGAGAGAGAGAGCCCCGAGCATGCGTAGCAGGGTGTCCACAAAGCTCGGGCAACAGCTGCATTAACTCCGTATGGTGTGGGTCCTTTCGCCTGCGGTCACCTGACGGTCACATGACAGTCTACGTGGGCACACCTTAGTCCTGGGTTATCACGGCCATGGGTGGTAACGGGTGGAATGTTAACGGGCCCAGGCGGGTGCGGGTCTCTAAAAATGGACCTGTGCAGGACTCTGGGTCGGGTCACGTTAGTCACGTGCGGTGATCGCAGTGACCCAACATGCACCCCGGTGGGCCTCTTAGTACTGCAGTGATTAATTTTTGTTGTTATCGCAATAGCCCTAGGTGTTATAAAAAACATGTTCTCTAACTGTGAGTGGTGAAATTGCCATACTAGGTTACATTTATGTTAGTGTTAGTTACACCTTGAATTTAAAGTCTAAGGTAACAGTAGCAGTTGTTGTGAAACAGTGGTTATATATTTTAGTTTTTACAAATGTTTGCAAACTGATATTTGTTCATAATATTTGTATTTTAACAGTTCAACAGAATATAGTATTATTTTGAGATGAGTACACATTTAGATGACTTTTGTGCCACTGCCACCTCATCCTCAAAGAAGGGAATATATAACAGTCATAAATATTAATTGACTTGCTGATTCTAACATTCCATTTGAATATTAAACCAGAGATGAAGGCTGTGGACTCAGGGAAAGGAAAAAATCTAAAACTTTTTTATTTTCAGCCTTGCACTTTTATAACACAGTAAAATAGTGAAAACACAGCACACTTTGCCCATTATCTGTCAACCACTAATGACATTTTTCGCACTGCAGCCTACACCTGTCTCTGCCTGATACACTGTTCCTCTGGGGACTTTTTGAAATGCTATCTTTATTTATAGCACTTTCTAATGAAACACAAATAATTTCATTTCAGGTGTGAATTGGACTGCACATCCTGATAGCTTTCTTTCATGTGTATGTTTTTTATAGGGTTGTATGTGTTGGGTACATTGTGTGCAAAGGTCAGAATAGAAAGCCTTTGTGTACATGTGTTGTCTGTTTTATTTATGCATGAGGCTTTTGTTGTTGGGCCTAATTGCCACCAGTGAATCATTAGATAGCACTTACGCTAACGCTCGCTAATTGCCGTACTCTGGTGGCTTGTCCTCATGATGTTGTTGGGGATGCTGTTGTTATTGAGTGTAACCTACCGATGTGTGTGTGTGTGTGTGTGTGTCATAGGGCGACACTCTGGAGATGGTGGGGGACCCAGTGAGTGGGATGGCTCGCTGTCCATATGACCCCAAACACGCTAACGTGGCTCTGTTCGCTGGTAAGTGGAACATACTTTTTTGTTTCATGTGAATAGACTGCAGGAGGTACTTTCAGATACTCGCCTCTTTCTGAACTGCTGCTGATAGGAACACTGTCTGCAGACCCTATGATAATCGTCCAGTTCATACCTAATGAAATCCATTCAGCTCATTTGAATGATTGAACCAATATACCAAATAAAAAGAACACTGAGTTTGTAATTGTCACATTCATAATGCTAATATTATTATCTATTATGTATGCAGTCTACTGTCCTGTAATATCCAATTATGGATGAAATATTACCCGCAACAATTACTTTCCAGACAATACATTTTGTTTCAACCAGGATTGAAAATACAACTCGTGACAGTTGTTGTAGTGGTTTTAAATCAAATATATTACATCTGTAATGACTCAAAAACAGTGCGCAATAAATCTGAGAAACTATTCAAATCTTGTTTGTTGAGGTGTTTTGTCTTAACTGGCAGAACACCTGTCAAAATTTGGCACCAATAAAGTTATAATTTATGCTCCCTCCTTTTCTAACAAATGGTTTTAAATCTTACTGTATCCCTCTGTTTGAAGGTTACCCTCAGCAAGCATGTTTTATCTGTAAATCAGAAATAGTTCTAATGCACGCTCTGATACGGCATCTACATAACAAACATTATTACGATACATATCAACATGAGTGTGTTTACCTCGTCTTTCATAATGTTTTCCTCTAATCAAATCAGCTGTTCAGTACCGAGCTATTACTGCCAGCACTCCAAGCTATATTGTGTGTGGGAGTGGGCATAGGAACTATTATGTATCTGCACTTACCTTGTTCAGGGTCAGTGTGTGAAGCAGGTAGGGCTAGTGCTCTGTTTACCCGTGTGTGTGTGCTCTGTGTGGTGGAGGTTTGGTACCACTGATGGCTTCTCAGTGGATATGTTTATGTACACACTAAATATCTGATTATCATCTGATTCAGGATGTACCAGATTATTGAAATGTCATGTACATTTCATCTGATGCAAGTAATATGCTTTATTTCAGCTTGTTCTTGTGCTGGCAAGGAAAATTCTCCTAAAACGGGAAAGTAATGTGATAATTTAAAGAGAAAATGTCCAAGAGTGAAAGATTTATTTTAAATTCATTGTACTTTTGTCTTCAAAATCCAAGTACAACAACTGTAATCTACAAATCTACAAATGAACTCACATGTCACCAGGTGTTGTTGGTCATCAGATTTCTCTAGGGCATGTAAACACAGCAATAATTAGATTATTCTCGTTATCAGATTTTTAATTTTTTTTAATAACCATGTAAATGCTTGTTTCTTTGTCAGAGGGAAACCTGTTCACAGCTACAGTTACTGACTTCCTGGCCATCGACGCAGTCATCTACCGCAGCCTCGGAGACAGTCCAGCTCTGCGCACTGTAAAACACGACTCCAAGTGGTTCAGAGGTACTCACCTGCTCCACGCATTATTAACATGATCTACCTCCAGATGGCTTTGTTTTTACACTGAAATCTAGTGTGTCCACCTCTTCTTCATTTACTTTAAGTACATGGGATCAATATTTATCCCAGAACCTCAACAGGCACAGACACAAGGAACAACTGCATTACATTATAAAGGTCAAGGAAACATGACTCTAACTGGGAATGCCTGCAGCAGATTATGGGTGTTATATATTTACTCTACATTTTGTATTGGAACATATTAAAAGATTTATTAATTAGGTGGTCCTTTCAAGTACAGTATTTCCAACCAACTCCACTCTCCACCAAAAACGTATTTACTTTTTTATGTTATGTTATGTGTGTTTGTGTATGTGTGTAATGAAACAAGCAAGCCCATACCGTAGTTGCTTTTCCAAAATATTATATTTCAGCACCTCTGTTCCGTCCCTTTGGTGTCCTCATGGTGTCCTCTCCGTCTCATAGATGGTGCCATAATGTGTTTATTTCTGTGTGAAATCCTCTTTTCACAGTGTAATACAATTAAGCATGGCCTGTGCCTCTCCGACTGGCCTCTGTCCTGAGAGTGAACGCTGCATCTCCAAATGATGCTCCACTCTTTTCATGCTCCATTTATATTTCATTAGACCTTTCCCTGTGTTCACCTGAGTATCTCTTCTCTCTCTTCTCTCTCTCTCTCTCTTTTCCAAATGCAGAGCCGTATTTCGTCAGCGCTGTGGAGTGGGGCCCTCACATTTATTTCTTCTTCAGAGAGATCGCCATGGAGTTCAATTACCTGGAGAAGGTAGATAAAAAGTCTTGTGCAGTCTCACTTGCAGATACGCATTATAGTGAATATTGTAATGTACATGCAAAGTATTCATGTTTCGATAAACCGGTGATGGGGCTCCGTAGTCTGTGCTATGTATGTGCATTGCCTGATCATAATATTAGAACTTTTGATGGATGGAGTTTTTCTTTCATTTGAGATTCTCGTCATGTTGTTTTGCATTAGTATAGGGCTCATTTCTTACTTGTCTGTAAAGCCTTTTCCCTCAGCCGCTCTGACCTTTCATTCTCGTATTTGTTTGTCTGAATATCTGATCCAACAAATCATGGTTGAGTAAACAACTGCTTACTGCATTAACCCTGAGAAAGGCTAGGTTATTCACTGCACTCTCCCCTTTCACCACATCCATGGATACAACTCTATGAAAAAATAATCACACTAATAAATTAGCAATTCACTGAGAAAACCTTATGTAAGGTGACTGTGACTTGACATGTATACACAAAAAGGAGTAGAAGAATAGTTAAGTAGAGTGAGGGCGTTAAAAGAAGCTAATTTGAACAGGGTTGACATTTTCTTGAATAATTGATACTGAATTTAAAACAATATCTGTCAAAATAGGACATAAGCATCACTAATTGCATGCAGATGACTCAGAAGATAAGAGCAGTTTTAAGATGGAAAATGTGCCATGACATGTTTCCCAGCTTAAAAGCCTGTCACTGTGACTGTGGGGTAGGAATCTATAAACCCCTTTCACTATTTACAAGTTAAGTACTGTATTTCTGTTGAGGAATTAGCATGAGCAATTTCAGCTAATAATCAATAATCAAGATACAAACATGAGCAAGTGGAGCAATTTTTTTTATTTGCAATTTGTATATAAATGAGCAGGATCATTAGATGGATCAGCATTAGTCACCAATTACAAAATTACCAATGTAGAAATTAGCATATCAAGTTAGCAGATTTACATATTTTTGACTAGAATCCATTCACATACTTTTTTGCAGATTTGTAGTCCGTTTTATCTCATTTAATGTTTAGCACCTCACAAACTGGAAAAAAAAAATGAATGGAAAAAGTCTTATGAATTGCAGTCAGTGCTTTGTAAAGTCCCCACGCCTGCTTCTGCTCTGACTGACTGTTCTCTGCAGGTGGTGGTGTCTCGTGTGGCCAGAGTGTGTAAGCGCGACCTGGGGGGCTCTCAGCGTGTCCTGGAAAAGCAGTGGACATCGTTCCTCAAAGCACGGCTCAACTGCTCCGTCCCCGGTGACTCGCACTTCTACTTCAACCTGCTGCACTCCACCAGCCCTGTCATCAGGATGCACGGCCGTGACATCATCCTGGGGGTCTTCTCCACTCCTCCTAACAGGTACACACATGCACACACACATGTACACATACACAGGTACACACACACAGGTACACACACACTGGTACACACACACAGGTACACACACACAGGTACACACACACTGGTACACACACACTGGTACACACACACTGGTACACACACACTGGTACACACACACTGGTACACACACAGGTACACACACTGGTACACACACAGACACAGCAGTTGGGTTTAGTCACTTCCTATCCTCCATGGGTCATGGTCCAAAACCTCAGTGTTCACTCTTCATGTGTGGCATATGAGGAATATTGTACCTTAAATAGTTTTACATAAAACATGATATTTTGACCAACTGTATGAACTCCTTTTTACAAAGGGGCAGATTTTATTATTGATTTGTCCTTGCCTTTCTCCAAAACATTTTCTGTGCAAAATCTATTTTTACTGGGATCAAATAATTATAATGACCCAAATAATCTGCAACCCACTTTCATAAGTGCTCCAAGTGTTCACAGAACTTTTTCAACATCATATTAACAAACTTATTGGAACATTATCTTGATTACATAGTGTAGAAATTATGTAAGGTCAGACAAGATACTTGGATCCTATATTTTACACACAGTGAACCCATGACTATACATTGTACTTCTTATTGAGTAGACATTGCACTTACTGCATATGTCCTTCAGATCAATACTTTCTTGTGTTGTAGTTCAGTACAAAGCGTTGCCTGTTTTTCTCTGTGTAGGCGTCTTATATGAAGCTTAAGTGGAGTGTTGTCTTCTTCCTCAGAGCAGTGGGGGATTTAATCACACCAACATTTGTTAGAAATTTGAAATGCATTTGATTTATAGACTGAAGAGGACCTGTCTGCTACTCCAGACATGCCTGTCACCTTGAAAATTCAGTGGACCACCAAGTTTGTCTAGCACTATAAAGTGTGTGGAGAGAGCAGGGGATTCCTATAGCAAAGCTCTGGCGAAAATGAAAGAAGGTGCAGGATGTGAAGAGGGTCACAACTGTGGGGTTAGGGAGTAATTGAAGACATGTGGATGGCTTTCATTCAGGACAAAAAGTGATTTGTTGAAAGATGAGATTAAATTGAAAAAAGGTGAAGGGAAAATAGAAGAGAGGACAGGAGATGAGATCAGAGTGGGCCTGGTAAATGCAGGATTATTACGACACACACCACATCAAGAGACGGTAAGTGACAGGCAACACAATGGAGTCAGGCATATCAGAGCTCAAACAGCACTGATTTGACAAATGGTATTTAAACTTTCTGACTACAGCAAGAAAACTGGAAGATACAGGTTTATCCTTTCTGACGCAAATAAACACATTTTCTAATTCCCCTTTTCATTTGCTGATACAGTTAGACTAATCTGCTTATAAAGATTTATTTTTACTCTCCAAGATGATTTTGTTTTGTCACTGGTGCTGAATGGAAGGCAGACACAAACAGGGTGTTGTAAGTCTGTTTGGTGCCAAATGCCTTTTGTGAGACTTTCAGTTAAAATCAATAGAAAGCCTCGTGTGAGTTCTAATTGGTTCTTTCACTGATAGTAGAACAGTTCAGAGACAAACAAAAACAGCCTAAGTACACACGGATCCAATATTGGGATGTGCTGTTGTGGTTAGCGTTTCTCACTTTAAATGAGGAGGTTTTAAACCCTCAGCATGTTCTTTAGGGCTGCAAAATATGTTGCAATCAAATCAAAATCACAATTTCGATTTGGTACTATTAACAAATTACAAAGAAGATAGAATGTTAGAGTGCAAAAAAACTGTATATCCTGTATTTTTATTGAAAAATCTTATTGTACCTGTAGTTTACAAACGTGTTCTGAAATGCATGGGATTCTTGTATTAGTTTCAGTCTTCTCTCAAATGTTTATGCTCCTGGAGAACAGAATCTACTTTTCAAACATAAATTACAAATCTAATGTAATTGTAAACTTTTTGTTGTTGTTCTTCTTCTTCTTCCTTGATTACTGTGGCTTCTAGTAGTTGAATCCGTCAGGCAACATCCCCTTTTAATATGAAATAGTGGCTTGGCCTGTCACGATAACAAATTTTGAAGTATGTTATGCTGTTGAAGTAAATATAGATGATAATCGATAATATTGAAAAAATATTGAGGCCATGAAGCAGAATTATTTGACTTTGCATCTATAATGAGTTATAGAAGTTCATAATGCAACCCTCTACAACCCAGATTTCATCGTTGTACAGAAAAAATACACAAATTTTCCCACTATTACAATGAAAAAGCCCCCACCATAAATAGTGACCCCCAAAAATGATTGTTCATCTAACATGTATTGAGCGACAAGTCGAACCAAAAAGACAAGGGCAAACCCAGCATGAAATGAACCTGTCCTCTGGCATTCATCAGGCAAAGCAACAGCCCTAACCATCCTCCTATATCCTATTGATGCCCTGTGTATAAAGGATTATTTACAGCATAGTATAGCTTCAGATGGAGACAGAACCTCCAGCAGAGTGGTGCATACAGACACATGGTGATAGCTTGTTTCTACCCACTGAAGTCAAGTGCAAAAATCAATCAGACTTTATACTGTAGTCTTTCATAATCCAGAGACGTATTTAGAAATCAATAGAGTCTTTCACAGATACAATAAGATGGCAAATTAATGTTTGCAACACATGTTTAATACAGAGAACTCACAGGGAAAGGGGGTAACAGTCACCAACACGCCAGGCTTTGTTTAAATGGCAGCAACCTGAACCAGTGAGCGTCATTCAGGCCTCTTGTGATTATTTCTGGGCCAACTGATTGTTTGATTACACTGTTGTTGGATGCAAGTGAAGTGTGCACCTGCAAAGCTTTGTATGCTCACTATATTTATGGTGCTATTGTGTCTGGAGCTTATGTGACTGAGGATGAGTATTTTTATTTTTTGTTGCTTGTTTTTTAAATACAGATTTCTACATTTGAAATTGTATGTTTGTTGTAGAATATTTGGTCACTATTTTTCCATAAAACAAATTTAACTTTTCATTCAAACTAATTTTAAAGGTGCACTATGTAACTTTTCGTGTACCTTACGTTTATTAAATTATATCTTAAATTATATCTTAAAATTACCTAGAAAACCAGGCATTCTGACTGTGAACGAGGTTGTCTGTCCACAGATCTGACCTGTAACTTGGTTGGGTTTGGCTTTCATTATAGGTTTAATACCATACTGTAAAACATTCCAGACAAAGCAATAACAATAATAATCTCCTTGGTGAAAAGCATTTGACAGACCCACACCCTTTATATTTTTGAAGAACTTTTTAGGGACTTTACATTTCCTGGAGACTGATCCTAACCTGAGTTACTACTTGTCTAACCTTAACCTAAACCCTAACTTTGACTTATATGTAACTTGTATCTTATCATGGTGTTGATTCAATAATAAAGGTCATGTCATGTGGACCTGATTTTGTCCTCAAACGGAGGCAGGTTCCCATGTTGTGAGTGTCTACAGATTATAGTCTCCACACTGTGCTAAATCCCCACCCACATGCACACACACTCACAGAAAATGGGCTAAGAGCTAAATATAGGGCAATATAGCGATAACACACAAACATTTCTAGGACTCGATTTTGCCAAATAAAAGAACAAGTTTCTGACACACATTTGTGGATCCACACAATAAATACAACCTCTTTATTTGCAAAATAACCAGTGAGTCATACCTTCAAAGAAAAAAAAGAAAGAAAGAAAGAAAGAGGAGTTTTCTGCAGAAAAAGTTAGTGGGAGTAAGAAATGATAGTGATTTAGGACAAGCTCAGAAGGATCGGACAAAGACAAGTGTGTGAGAGGCGGCTGGATAACTGGGGGCCTGTTGTGTCAGTAATGGACAACACGTGCATCCCTTGCAGAGATCTAAAACCTGCGTCTTATCTGTGTGTTTTCTGTACTGCCGGAGGGGACATGGCCTGAAGAGGCAGATGGACACTTCCCACAGCCCCCCTCATGAACAAACACTCATGCACAAACACACTTACAATAGCTCCCAGATAAGAGCATTTATTTGGAAGAAAACCAGCTGAATCCACATACAGGGCCTATCTTCCTGCCATTCCTCTCTGGGTCAAACGCCACTGGCTGCTTTTAAAATGACTGAGATAGAGGCTGCCTTAGATGGATGGATTTGGAGATGTGTCATGGTACAAAATGAGCAGAAGGAGAATGAATGTAAGAGGTGAGCCGCTCGGGCACCCATGGGTCCCCTGCGGCCGTGCTGTCGTGGTGCTAAATGCTTGCCAGACAAATTGCGCTAGCTGGTATTGCCCAGTGAAAGCAGCATGCAGTGAAAGCTAGCAGTGCACAGATAGCGGTTCATTTGTGCCTTTTGGCCCCATAGCACATAAGAGAGTCCTGTATGTGCGTGTACAAATCCGGGTTTCATTATGGCCTCCCAGAGTCTCTCCTTGACTGACTCGTGCCTCCACACACCAGGGGACCAGCACCAGTTCTATATGCGTTATTACAGGGCACTTATTGTGGATTCTTCTGTCCCAGCCTCATAGTATGAAATCTCCGCTGGATGCCATTCCTTTTGTGCTTTTACCTCAGAAGCCCAGGGCCATTCTTTCTTAAATAAAAGAGAAAACAGAGAAAAAGGAAAAGAAAGGAGTTTTGGAGCACCTTGTGTAACCAGACCTCTGATGATCACTGGTTTAAGGAGGATAGGGAGGAACTTAAAAGAGCTGCCAGGGCCTCAAAGAGTTCAAGGACATTTGAAGTACTCTTGAGTTTGTAACGAATACATTTGAATATAATCATATTATTTGTGATTGTTTTGTTCAGGGTACGTTCAGTAGATTTCTACCACTTTATACTGAGCAATTATACTGAATTTTAATATGTAATTGACAGTGCAGTCTATTTCACAAGGTGCACTGTCAATATAATAATATACTGATACTAAAATCAAGTCACAGAAGTTTCCAAAGAGCATCATTTGGTCTCCTTTTCCTCTAAATAATTAGTTTGGTCTAGATTAGTTGAATCTGGTCTGTTTCATGAAACTAAAGTAAATCAGGAAAGTATTTTCTATCTAATGCCTTAGGCTCATTAAGTCTTAGTAGTATAGCCTGGCAATGAATAAACAACTGGATTTTAATCATACAACACTTTTCAGTACACAATACCAGCCCTGGGGCAGAGTATTTAAAAGCTTTCAAACAAGCACATTCTTCAATAAAACAAACTATAAAATAATGCTAAAAAAGGATGAACTTTGGTAGACTACTTTTGGGGATAGTTAGTGTTAATGCAACAATCTCATGGAAAGATCTAGATGAACTCAGGCCGATATGGTGAAAGAGGCAATTAAAAAGGCTTATTTAGCTTTGATAGCATCAGGACATTGACAGGATGACTTATATCCCATGCTAACACAGTAAACAGTCCCTGTTATTGTTTAGTCAGCTGAATATGTCTATCACCGCTGGAGAACTTGGGCATAGATCATTACGCTTAATGTAACCACTCTGCAATGAAAGCACAACATCCCAGCCAAAGCCAAGTAAATCTTGTGCATCCACAGACTGGGAGGCCCTGTTTGCTTTGGACCCCTAAGAGTCCCATGTGACGGGGTCAGACAGCAGGACATCTCAGTGGGGCTACAGAGCTGAAGACTGGGGTCACAGGAAAAGGAGCACGAGGAGCAGGCGGGGAACAGGCTCATAGGAGCAGGAGAAGTGGGACAGGAGAGGGATGCACAGATGTGAGTTAGTCCCCCGGGCTTGCATGGGACAAGGCACAGAGAGGTACGTGAGCAGAGGGCTGAAGGTGCAGTAGCTGACACCATTGCTATATATCATGAAGATACACTGGAGTTTTTATAGTCGTTAGTATTACACAGGCTGCAAAAAGTACAAGATTCATTCTGCTGGGAGACTATGAAGAAAAGGTCAACAAAGTGTGTATAAAGCTTTACTTTCACCTACAAAGTGGAACATTATGAGAACAAAAAATATTGCAATGGTAAGCTAATTACAATTACAACATAACTATTAAAGGGAATCAGTGCTAAAACAGAGCCAAAAGTGTTCCATTGTTTATTGCACTATAATGGTTGTTTTGACTGCACTTAATTAGAGTTAAAAGTTGGCTTCTCTGATTAGTACCGCAAGCTAAAAAAAAAGTCAATCTTCTGGTTGGGAAGCTGGTCATAAGTTTAAAGTTTTATTTGAAACACGCATGTTAAAACCTAAAATGTCACCTGCAAAGTGATTCTGAATTCTGATTATGGTTTTTAATTGTACTCCGAGATTTTAAGCACATACATTATCTCTTAGTTTATGCAGAAGGTTCACACCATATCATTTTTTTTTACTATAAAGTTTAGTCCTTCATTTCAGAGCAGCATCATCTGCCATAGTTCCTGTGCCACACACTCATCACTTGTCTCCTCCGAGTGGTCCTGTGTCTCTCTCAGGGCTGTCACACTGCAGCTCTAGTCTCTGCACAGCTCTATATTAAGCTTTGCTCCATGTGCAGTGGGTCTGTCACTCACACACTCGCAGCCAGAGCCAAAGAGGAAGGCAAGCCAGGAGTTCAGGCGAAGGGCGCTGTTAAAAGTAAACACAACTTCAGGTGGACAGAACAAAGCCAACGATTGTATCAGTCTGGCACAGTGTAGTCCATCTTTGACAGGGTGGTGGTTTTATTATAGTCATGGGGATTTTATTTTCCTTATGCAATAATGACTACTTTGCCTGTTTCATAGCTGTTGTGAAATTTTCATTTTGCATCATTTTTCAAACAAAGTACCTTCTTTATTAACCTTTATATACACTGAAGTCCTGAGCAATCTTCCTACAGTATACCCTGAAGGTTTATGGTTTAATACCCATTTCCCAGATTGGCATCCACTTGTCCCAGGGCAGTTGTTTCTACTGTTGTTGCCATCGAGTATGCGATTTGAATAAAAAATCCAATTTAAATCCAAAAATGTCTTATAACAATGGATTGTAAATCGAGTTTCCCATAAGAAACCCAGTGACCCATAGTAAAAGGCCTGGAGCAGCAGTTGACTTGGAAGAGGTGAAAAGACACAGGCGCTGGCTGGTGTGAGAGCTGAGCTGGCACAGATGTCACAGCTAACATCTGTGTGCTCTGTCCCGAGAGGCAGTGTCCGGTCCACGGGGCGGCCCGGGGCAGTCTGCCCCGCTCACACCTCCCTGCCCATGAATGACAAGTACACACAACGCACAGCTGCTATGTGTACAACACACGCTCCCACTGCCAGAAGACCACATCACCCATGCACAAGAGAAAAAGACCCTAATGAAACACTCATTTGGCAAGAACTTGGTGTAAAACTATCCAAAAATAATCATTTTTATTTATTTATTACATTTTTAGCCCAAATATTGTTAGAGCCTTGGATTGATCTTACAAAATTGTGTATTTCACAGAGCCTAGCATGTGAACTACGACCAAACCCCTTGGCCATGTTATACTCTATATGAGGCAAAATTACACAAAAGTACACTCTCGCAAAAAGTACTGGGGAATACTGTGAGATATTGGTCTGTGATAAATAGTCACATTTTTATATACCACTTCTCCACTTTTAAAGCACTAAAAGAACTTTAGATCAAGGAACCACTCACCCATTCACACACACACATTCATATACCAGTTGCGCAGACACTAGGGGCCAGGTCAGTTACGTGTCTTGCCCAAGGACACAACAACAACAACAGCATTCATCAGTGGGAGCTGGCATTGCACTGCCAACCTGTGGGTCAGTGTATTTGACCATTCAACTAATGATGTTTAAGTAAAGAGCAGGATTCGAATGTCCAGTATTCAGATCAGTGGACAAACGCTTTACCAACTGAGCTACTCACGCCCCTAAATATTGTTGTTTTGAAATAAATGAGTTTTTGTTCACATATAAAATTGGATAAATGAAGAAAACAGCTTGGATTGTGTGTTCATGAGCAGCAGGTTGCGAGTGACTCTCATGTTTTTCTGTATTACGGAGGTATTAGCTCTTAGTCACAGGCTCTCACCACGCACTGCATTAGTCACAATGAGAAGACTTCCAGCGCAGAGAGAGGAGGGAGGCTGGGGAACAGCTCTCTCCTCATCCTGGCCTGACTTTGTGTAATTTCTCCAGACGATACACAGAAATGTAACGCATGTTTAGTGAAGAAACAGCTTAACAGTGTAAAGTAGTGAGTGTGTTTGTTTGTATTGGCCCCAGTGCACAGGGAATCTGAACACTAGACACTCAAGGCAGATGTTGTCTTCCTGAGAGTTCAGCAGTTCAATTTGGGCCCATTGAGCCTGAACTGAACTGTACATGTTTATTTTATTTTTACTGCACAAACAGTCCATGTCATTTCTGAGAAAAGGTCTAAATCAAAATTCATTGTTAATATTATACACTTTATTCAAAGTCTAATTACTGCCAGTCACTGAAAACAACAAACACTTCACTTGAGAGTCCAATTTTTCTGTTGATTGCCTTGAGACCTTATGTAGTAATTGGCAAGAGCGGAATAACTGTTGACATCTGCTTAACGTTTCGTTTCATTTTGATTAAGCGTTGTGTTCTTTTAAAAACACAAATTAATGACAAATATTTTGTCTTCATTTTGTAGATCTAAGTGTATATGTGCTCTATGTAACTTTTTTGGTGTAGCGTCCACCATCTGCCCTCTTTACCTGGAGTACTTCAAAACAGAGCAAATTTCCATTCCCTTCCATTCATCTCCATCAAAACAGGTGACACCACCAGTCCGAGTTATGTCAGATCTGTGAAGAGGCAAACTCTAGTGTAGTCATACTGCCGAACATTCCAGGCAAAGCAGTTATATCTCCATGAAGAGAGCAGGTGGTGGACCCTCCTGCAGAAAAGCTGCATAGTGCACCTTTAAGACTGCCATGAGTTCAACCATTGGGCAGACCCATTTGCCCATTGAGTTTCTAACTAGAAATGTTTCCTTTATTTTTCTTGTAAAACTCCTCACTCTCCTTTTGAGGGAAAAAAAATCCTATGAGTCATTTCCTACATTGTATTTTCCACAGAATTCCAGCCAAGTTTCTTTCATAGCTCTAATCTATCTACTGCATCTACACTGTGCACGCTTCTCACTGCCTCTATCTTATCCCCCCTCTTTCTCTTTTCCTATTTCCCTTGTGTTCAACCATTCAATGTCAAAATCTGAAAAGCAAAAAATCCAATTCGTCATCAGTGTTTGGCGCCTGTGTCTTTTGTATGGTCCACAATCCTCCTTTCTGTGCCTGTTCAATCTTCACTTGTACAGCCTATTCTTAAACTCCACCTTATCTCTGCTTCTTCTGCTGCGTTTGGTGTCTCCAGAGATTGAGGCCTACTTGACACATCTCTGACAGTGTGTCCAGCCAGTTAGAAGTGTTAAATCCATTGTGGGACGCTGTACTGACCCTCTTTTGTCCCTGTCCTGGCAGTATCCCGGGATCAGCGGTGTGTGCGTTTGACATGGAGCAGCTGGCACAAGTGTTCGAGGGCCGCTTCAAAGAACAAAAGTCGCCCGAGTCCATTTGGACGCCGGTTCCAGATGAGCTGATCCCCAAACCCAGGTGAGCAGGGATGGGACTATAAGACAAGGGCATTAACAGCAGTCTGTTGTCACGAATGTATTTTTTTAAAACCATAAATGATGTAGGGAAAGGAAATGTGAAATACTGAAATGAAGCATTATGATCAGTTAAATCAGAAGATGAGCACTGGTAATTAGGCACTTGGCATTTGAATCTTGAAAGTAGCTAATGATATTAATATTAGTAATAATAAGAGAGAGAGAGGGTGAGATATTGATAGAATTGATTGAAATTCAAGTTTTGCTGTAGCAAACTGTTTTGTTTTACTAATAAGACAATTTAGTTAGTTATATTGTTCCCAAAGAAAGAAAAAAAAATCCTATGGTTTGTAAATTTAAAAAGAACTGAATTTCTCAGAGTAGACACACACTGTACACATCCTTCACATCATATAAGCATATGTACAGATAATTCAAGCCACAAGGACATAGTTTGTTCAGTGTTGATGGCTGTGGAATGATACTTTGGCTATTTGATAATATTTTCTAATAAAGAATGTAAAACTTTTGAAAATTTGCTAAATCAACCCAGTAGGGTACCAGTGAGTGAAATGAAACTTCAACTATATGGCATTTAATCTGGTATTTTTTGATCCACCTTCACTTCATCTGATTCAAAATATGTTAAAACTAAAATTATAAGCAATGTATTTCAACTAATTGAATTCATGTGTACTTTGAACTTAGTTACATGTAGTTATGTATGTATCAAAATTTATAGTATTTGAACATTACACAAGCCAAATCGTTTGCTGCATCACTCTCCAAACATAAGTCCAGGGCTAACCTTGCATAACTCACAGTCCTTTATATAATATATTTTCTGAATGATTCTTCCATTGAACCAAAGCACTATGTAGAAATGTGCCACAAGGCCTGTCTAGACTGCTTAATGACTGCTCAGTGCCTTTAAATAAGTGTGTATGAGAACTGCAGACCTGTCTGTCTATGGATATGAGCCCTGATAAAGAGTCTATTCTGTGTCCCTCAGGCCTGGAGGATGTGCAGTCCAGGGATCAAGGTTCAATTCGTCCAATTCATTTCCTGATGAGATGCTTAACTTTGTCAAGACACACCCTTTGATGGATGAGGCCGTGCCATCGCTGGGACAGAGGCCTTGGATAGTACGCACCATGGTCAGGTGGGGCTATACACACACACTCACACAACTGGGTTTGGTGCAATTTGGATTTAAAGTTTACTAAAAATATTGTATAATATCATGTTCAAAATGTACTTAGATTATTGGATTGAATTATATTTTCTCTTCATGATGCAAAGAGAATTGAGGCAGTATTGAAGTAGACCCAGAGGCAGTTTTTGAACAGTATACTTCACATAATGTATCATTTATTGGAGTACAGTTATTTTACCCAACCATTGCAAGCCTTATGGGGACAATATTTATATTCTTACGCAATGAAATCCTTTTTGCAGACATGCTATTGGTCAGAGTTGTTACCTTTTGTTAAGGTATTATGAAATAAGTTAATCTAATTTCTGCTGACAAGCTCCTTGTGCAACTTCTGCTACTTTCATATGGATAGGCCCAGTTATTTCAGACTTATTACCCATCAGCTAGGTCAAAAAATCTCAAATCTTGACAGTCAAGGCAAATTCTTCTGCAGAAAAAAGTCCTAACTGGCCTTCCATGTCTTATGATGTCACATGAACCCAATCTCTTGAGTTTTATACACCTACATCGGCCTTATTTGGGTACTATAAATCTTACTCTGAATATGATTGTGTAAAGGTGTGGTGCAATGCTGAGTGCTCCTTGTTGAGTTCACCTAGTCGCCTGGAAAAGTCTGTAGTGAGACATGAGGCAGCTGCTGTAGCATGTCCAATCCCACATGTCCACTCCTCCTCCTCTTCCTCCTTTTCCTCCTTTTCCTCCTTTTCCTCCTCTTCCTCCTCTACCTCCTCTGCCTCATCTTCCTCCTCTTCCTCCTCCTCTTCTTCCTCCCTCTCTCCCTCACCTTCCTCCGCGTCTCTGTCTTCCGTCCCATATGGAGCCCCGGGACCCAGCAACCACCAGGGATTACAGCGTTGGACGTATGTGGAATATTAAACATAGTGTGAGTGCTGCTGTATGGGTGTGCATGGATCAGCACCACTCTCTGCCTCTCCAGTTTAGTGCCAAGACGAGACCATTTGTTTGACTGATATTATTAATGACCCAACCGCTGGCATAATTAGTTTATTATGCAAATGTGATGAACAGAAATTTCATCTGTGTGGATTTTATTTAGTTTAGAAGTGACTCAAGAATGAATGGCCTATTGAGATTTTAAATGCAAGAGAGGCTGTCTATATTTGGTACTATGAATAGTTTTATTTCAGCGTGGTTAAATCATGAGTAGGTGAGTAATACAATGAAGTATTTTGTTGATAATCTCAAAATGCTGCAAAAGGCTGATTCAAATAAAAACTGAGCACATTTTTGAGTGAAAAAAGTAAAAAATTGTGCATCATTGTGAATAATTTTAGTGTCCGTTCAGATTTTTCAAAAACCTCAAACCTTCGTTTAAAGACACATTTCAAAAATGTTTTATATTTTCTGATTATCCAGGATACGACATTTTATTCAATATTCATTTATGTCGATATTGCCCACCTCCACTAGTGTTTTGTTAGTGTTACCTATATTATGTAATTTCCAGATACCAGCTGAATAAGATTGTGGTGGACACAGAGGCAGGCCCACACCGAAACAGAACTGTCTTATTCCTGGGATCCAGCCGTGGAACCATCCTTAAATTCCTCATCATGCCCAACCAGGACAACACTGTCACCAGCAGCAGCGTCTTCTTGGAGGAGTTGGAGGGATTCAACCCGGAGAAGTAAGAAAAGCAAACATTCCACACGCTCTTGGAAGAATAATATTATGAGAGTTTGAGTAATGACCTAAAGTGACGGAGAAGGGTTAAGGTGCACTCACAGAGGAGCTCACGGTGGTGCGATAGCCCTAGAAAAATAGACACTAACAGAACAAACATGCCATGTCCTGGATACCTGACGTGCCTTGAATAATGCAAAAAGTGTAACCTATTCTAGCGCAGGCTTATAATAATTGTACTGGGGCTGCAAGTATGTGAGCCCCATGCAGTGAATACAAATAGGACACAGACACTGAAGAATGGGACTCCAGCCTAATATTCGCTATCAGCAAAATCTGTACAGCCACTAATGAGGATGACACATGATGTAGAAAAGCATTGTGGGAAAAAGGCAAAATGAAATGAAGATACAATCACATTATCTATAATCTGTCCAGAATGGCAGTGCTGGCTGAAAGATTGGCTTTTAATGGAGACGGACTCTCTCCTCTGAATCTCTGCACCAGATCGGCTCAGACTGCCCTACTTGTCCCTCACAAATTAGCACTTTGAATGACCACTCTTTGACTGGTTGGTGCTCTCATGAACTGCTAATAAACACAATGAAGACACCAGATTCTATTACCCACAAGCTGGACAATAAAGCCCTCTTTTATTGTATTTTTTTTAATTACTGCTGCAGTTTGTCTTTAGACTTATATTCACAAAAAGAAAGTTCCTGAATAGATTACGATTACACTTTAAAATTCAGTAGTCTTATTTAGTGCAAATGCAGTTTAGTAGCCTGTAGCACAAAAACATTCACCTTATTCAAAAAGTTGCCATGAGCTCCTCTATTATCTATGGCTCGTTTTCGGATTGTGTAATTTTGCATTGGGCTGCCAATCTCGACAGCAAATAGTTTATATTCAGACTACAAGGCCATTTTCAAACCTTCCGGAAAGGGCGCATTGTTGACTTGTTAGTACACATGAACATTGAAAACCTTGCACAAATCAACCTATTATATGATATTTTCTCCATTGAAATGAATGTAAAAATGCAATCACAATAGAAGTGTGGGTCAGTAGTGTCAGAGGGAAACATTGGCAGGACAGAATAAGGAATAAGACGAATACTGCAAGGATAAACATATTTGTAATGAGTCCTTCATAATTTTAAGTAAAATTACTACTACAGACTATTGCACCATTTTGATTAAGTGAATCAAACCAAATGCTTGCCCTCTCAGGTATTTGTCAAAATGAAAGTGCAGCTGCAAAACAAGCTCACCATTTTGTGCTTTCACCCCTCCTCTGGACAGAATGAGTGATAGAGATGTTGGGTGAAATGAGGGGATATGTGATGAATGGTGTGTGTGGAGCAGAGCCAGCGTCACAGGGCTAATGTGCTGTGTGCTGCAGCTCACCACGTGGGCAGGGACAGTCCAGCTCTCTGCAGGGGCCCAGCTAATCAGACCACCTCCACATGAGGCTCTAAGTGCTTTTGTGCTGTCTCATCTTACCCCACAGACCCCTCAGAGTCCACAGACCCCGCAGACTCCTCAGACCCCTCAGGTCCCACAGACCTTACAGACCTCACAGACCCCTTAGACCCCGCAGACTCCTCAGACTGCACAAACCCCTCAGACCTCACAAGACTCCACAGACTCCACAGTACAGACCCCATAGACCTCACAGCACAGACCAGACCCCTCAGACCCCACAGAGATCATCGGCCCTTAGACCCCACTGACCCCTCAAACCCCACAGCACAGACCAGACCCCTTAGACCCCACTGACTCCTCAGACCTCACAGACCTCACAGACCTCACAGACCCCGCTGTGTGATGAGTCAAAAAATCTGCCTAATGTCCTGAAACAAACTTGGCATTTTTAAAGTAAAAAAAGACAAAAAAACATATCTTTCAAATAAGTGATAAATCTACAGACTCTCCTTAGACCCTTTAAAGGATTAAAGTCATCGTGACAAAATTCAATCCACGTAATAATTTGCCTATTATTGTTATTGTCAAATCAATATTGTTATTTTTTTTATTTTAAAGTTTGCCCTAGCAGTAAACTAAATCATGATGTAACTGATGTTGTTACTCAATAATGTTAAAAGACATAACAGCCAAAGTAAGGACTATTTCCACATTTCCTTAAAATTCACTGCTTGTTTATCTCTCCCCATCTCTCTCATGTGATTCTGTCCATGAGAAGTGTGTCTGAATGAGAGGCCCTTCTTAACATTGAGGGGCCTGCTGCGATGTCATTACCATCAGAAACACAGATACAGCTCAAGTCCATGTGCATAAAAAGCATAAATCAGCTCTGACTGGTCGCTCGTCACTATTGTGACTCTAAGTGCCAATTAGAAGTGATTCAGTTCCCAGCCACCCTGTTTGATGGCCAGCCAAGCTCTCCAACCTCTCCAATCAGCACACCAGTGTATGTTGTACCAGCATGGGGCATTGGGCAACTCTGCTTTCACTGGTTCAAATCTGAAACAACAATGTACCATGTAATGGGGAAAAACAGGTGTAATCAACATTTTAGTGTTTGGTTGGAATTTCATAAACAGCACCTCCACATTTTGTTGTAAGAACCAAAAATTAAACATAGCAATTAAGAAGTACAATTGCTAGATCCTCAATAGCCTCACCAAAACAACTGGATGTACAGTAGTCAGTATTTTAAAAAAGTGGTTGATTAAAAAAGACAGCGATTAAGTTTGTAGGCCTATGAAGAGGTGGAGCTGGGAGTTTTGTACATTAGAGGTGCTAGACGACAGACTGTGGTACACTCTAATGACTACTAAAGCCATAAAGATCATCATGTCATAGCAGCTCTGTGTAGTCAAAGTACATAAAGGTACACTTGTGTGTTTGTGTAGGTGTGCAGAGGACTCCCCTGCAGCCCGGCAGCTCCTCTCCCTCACCCTGGACAGAGCCAGTCACACTCTGCTGCTGGCCTTCCCCTCCTGTGTGGTCCGAGTCCCGGTGGCACGCTGCCAGCTCTACTCTCGCTGCATGAGGTGAGTGCGCACTTACAACTACATTATGGCCATAAGCAGAAGTGAGATGACCGTTCACGGTCTATAGCCATCTGGTGCCTCAGTCTCCTTTAGGAAGACACAGCGAACATCTGCTGCTGCTGACCTGACTCATTTGTACCATAATAAAACAACACAAAACAGCACCACAGAACAACAACAATAACTCTGCCCTTGAGCAAGGTGGTGCAGAGATCATTGTAGAAACTTATAAAAGCCACAAATGTAATACATCTGGAACAAAACCATAGAGTTCTGTATCTTGCCCCCGGTCTTAAAGCAGCAGTAGAGTTAGTGAGATAATCTGCTGTCAGATTTTCTGCTGAGAGCATGAGGTGTGCAGCTCTAAACAACAGGTGTGCTCTGCCTAAATATCAGGTGTGGAACAAACTCAAAATAAATATCGAAATAGTCCATTGAAAAACATGTAACATATTTACTCAAGGAATAAAAGCCTTCTTTTGTATTTGTAAATGTGTTAGGACGATAAATGCATAACTGCAGAGGACCATCAGATTGGTTCAGGTATCAGCACCATATATGTACTTGTACTATCCCACTCCAGCCCCCAGCACCTAAGTACAGCCTCTTTTTACCAGCGTTAACAATGTCCGACCTGGACACACCTTCTCATTAGCACTACTGCTCCATTTAGATCGGGGACAAGAGGCAGCCCATAGACATTACCTGCGACAAGAATGAACAATTTATTGTCTCATGTTTTACACAGTGAGAATCAGAGAATCAGTTTCACATCAAACATAGTATGTTGTTGAGTGACTGTATGTATTATTTTTTAAACATGAATGCATAGATAACAACTGGGCTGTAGTGGCTCTGTACCAATGCTTCAGTTTCTTCATTGATTAACAGAACAGCTGCGAACTATAGACCTTCATTTGCTGTGGACTATCATACTACTCAAACAATTAGGGAGTATAATCATATTCAGAATATATAGAGCTCCGCTGTCCCAAGAGCATCTACAAGAAATCATTCATCCCCACTACAATAACTGTCCTGAATAGCACCAAGTAGTTCTGCTTTATTCTGAACATCTGATTTTATATTATTATTTTTACTGTGTGTGACAGTCTGGAGGGAGGGGGTGTTGAAAACAAATTTCTGTTTTATTTTGAAACACATTACTAATATCAACTCTGTCTTACATGTCTTATATAGTGTCTGTAATTAAACTCCCAGACCTACATTCAGACACACTCTGCACCACTGAGTCTTCCTCCTATTAGCATCTCCGCACGTTCACACATAACTGTACAAGACGTGTGCACTGAACCTGCTGGCCCATACAAGCGTACAGTGCATTAACAAGTACGATTAGCCAACACAGTTCTATGTCATTAGATAAGTACATTATTTAGAGCCTTATATTTCACAGCAGTTTTCAAATCAACAGCCCCGGGTCAAATGTTTGATGTCAGCTTCATTTAAGATAGTTTTATTCAAATGTTACCCAGTGGCAGTCAGTACTGGTTTAAAAGGAATCAATTTATTTAGTCATGCACGTTAGAATGGATCTTCAGTGAACACATTTTTAAAATCAGTGTTAGTAATTTTAGTAGCAGCAGGTATACAATCATGTCATATCAGATATGTAGTAGCTGATATAATAACAGTAAATCTAACTGTGTTTCAGATGATATCACAACATTATGTAAGTCAGTAATAGATAATGCAGATTTTCATTGCAGTGCAATGAGTTGTTTGGTCTAGTCAATAATAGAAAGGACCAGGTTCAACATATGTTAATTTGCCTTTTAGATATTTCATGGCAAAGTACAATGTAAAGGAAAAACTCCCTCTTGCCCCAATAGTAAAAATGATTACTCCAGCAGAAGTACCGGTCCACCTTTGAACATATTTCCTAATATAATGTTTTTACACGCTTTTCTTTTCCAGTTTATAGTCTGTTCACATGAAGACTGTGTTTTTGTAATATCATGTTAAGTAATTCACCTTTGGAAGCCCTTGGGTGTAAGTGGTCACAGACTGACCCTGTCCACTTCCATGTCCGTGCACATCATTCAGACTCTCGTAGAATCCCACAGCGCTTTATTAAAAGCCTCAGAGTTGTTTTCTGTGTGAAATATTGATCAAACACTTCTTATAGCACAAGATCATTTACTTTGCCTGGACTTCTTCAAAGTCAAGTTATTGTCTTATAGTCCACATTACATCATTATCCGGGAGCTCTGGAGCCGTTAAATAAACTGCACATCGGCCATTTGAGGAAGAACTAGTGTAAGTTATTGTTATCCACCCACTTGTGGATTTTATGATTCATTAAAATGTCCTCAAGATATAAATAAAAGCTCAAATGATGTGGTGTCTTTGTGCAAAGGCTCAACATCTTAATTAACACAGTGTTTATTTTTCTTGCATCTTCTTATTCTCTTAATAAATTTGTATAAACCAATAAAAATTGATATTTTTAAATTGCATTTTTCTCTTACTACTTATTCACAGCTCGGTGTTACAATAAGAACAGCATTAGCATATGCACTGGTGAAGCTGGGATCAAACTGCGAACACTGTTGTGGGCGAATGTTCAGCCACTTTACAGCCACTTAAATGAATGTACAAAAGTGTAATTACAATGGGTATGCACAGACACATTATGCAGTCACTGCTTAATGTCATTGTACACGGTACACTTTATAACCTGGGTTTAATCCTGGCCTGTCCGTTGGCAATCAAGTATTTTTTTTTTCTTTTAATCTATCAATATTAATTAAATTAATAAAATACATTAATACAAAATATCCTTTCTTTCCTTTTTTTTTAACATTGGCACTAGGACTGGGCGATATGCCAAAAAGCTTAATCAAAATTTTCCCTCTCATATTAAACAACCTCAATTTTCAATTCAGTTTTATTTTGTCTTATTAAAAACAATTAAAATAGCTTTCAGTTTTCATTTCCTGAACATAAACAGTACAGACTTCTAATCATTGCCATTTAACCCCAAAAATAGTCAATTTCTTTCTCAAAAATTTGAATTGTGCTTAAAACCACATGTGTTTACTGACAGAGAATTGGCTGTAGACCTCTTAAGTAAGAAGACCCAGCATCTAGATCTCAACTTAAATTCAGTTAGCCCCAAATAGTACAGAAATCCTTTACTGGTATCTTATATCCAAGATAAATAATTGATCAATTGTGTTTATTTGTGTGCAGAAGTTGTATAGCCTCCAGAGATCCATACTGCGGCTGGACCAAAGGGAGCACCTGTTCCTTCCTTCGTCCTGGGACCAGGTATGACCCTCCTGCCCCCCACCCCCCTCCTCCCTCCGTCCATCTATTCAGGCCATCATCATGAGGGCTTCACACATGTCCTGTCTTTGTCACACTCCATCTGCTGCTGTTTGTGTGTTTACCACTCCAGCTTCTGTTTTGTCTTTTTGTATGTATCGACCAGGCATCTTTGATCACATCTTCTTCTTTTTGTTGTACTTGTTTTTTTCATTCTCTCAAGGTTACCTACACCTGTGGAGGAGATGTCCCATATATTATTCATGTGTTCTGGAAGTCCTTGTATGTGTCTGGGAGTATTAGCACCACTGTCTAACATCTGTGCCCTCTAAGTAGCCTGTCACACAGTCCGCCCAGGGCACACTTATTGATTCAAGATGTCCGCCGCCTCTGCTGCAGTTAAAACAGGCCTGTGTTCTTTCACTTATGCTCCCATCAAGTGCTGCCACATGACGCAGGGTTTGTGGCTGTGGGTGGCACTCTGCGGAAATGGGTGCTAAGCCTTATCTTGTTAGCACAAATGTTACAATTCTTGGGAAGTGGACAAAGTTAGGAAATTATTTATATTAGCAAAATTAATAATTAGTCATCTGGCTCTGCAAAACATGTTACAAGTTTAGTTTTTTATATATATAATTAAAGGTGCTGTACCTGATGTTTACTGACTTTTTTTTTCTGCTCATTATAAACACAACAGTTTACAACATCACAGTTATTCCTAGCATCGTGTTTAGTCACCACAATGCATTTAGAAGCACTTTACATAATACCGTTCTTATTGTTTTCATAATGTTCTGATTGTGCAAACTAAAATTTATTAGAAGCAACATTTATACACTTCAGTTCAATATACATTCCTAAAAACTCGTTAAGTTTAATTTAATAAATCTGGTCGTGTATTAGAGGAATGAAAATAACAAAACAAAACAAAAAATAACTATTGTTTGGTGATGGTGTCAGTAATCATGAATAGTTGTTTAACTCTGATGTTTCTTCTCATAATAATCATAACCTGTAATTCTAGTCATTACATGGAAAAATCAGGTATTATGAAACCAATTAATACATTGTTTGGTGAGATTAACTAATGGATTTATAATGACACACTTCATTCTTCAGCTATGGAAGGGATGATAAATGGCAGAGTATTTTCCATATCAAACTATAACTTCACAACATTGTTCCATCCCTCCTGGACATTTGAACCCTGAAGAGCTCTGATAGTTTCTGTCTCTGATGCACTGACCACCCGTGCGCCGCCAAATCAAATCCCTCTTTCCTCAGAGCTGCTTATTGAATTAGTGCTTGACAAACACAGGTGTGGAGGCAACGGAACAGACAACAGAGCCTTAAAGACCACCCCAGGCTTCACGCTTATACTGTTAAAGGCCTCTGTGTGACTCCTCATTCGATTTACCAAGGGCGGTCAACTCACCAATCGATTGTGCATTGAGTTACCGTGGATTTCCTCTTTGTGCAATAATGCAGCTTCTCTTTGCCAGAGGAGGCCACTGCTGTTGGAGGATTATGAAATTACTTTCTAATTTTGGAACTGGGAAGAGAATTTCTGATCAAAGTCACAAGGAAATCATCCAGTGTTTTAATTGCATTTGCAGTGTGGAGCAGAACTGAAGTGTACAAAGAGGACCCCAGGATGCAGAGGAGACAAAAGGGCCTGAGGCAGGATCTATGGACTAAGTAACTTTTATGTGAAGGGTTCACTTCTGCTTATCTCTATGGCAATGTTATGGCATTGCTGGTAATGTTCCATATTATGGAATGTATCTGCCATGCCATTTTATTAGCGAAGATTGTATTGCTAAAAATCTCTGACATGGCCCAATGGCGTTACGTTCTCTCAAGGGAGATATGTGAGTTTAATGTCACAGTGTGAAACATATGAGAGAAAACAATAACATCTCCACAGATTCAAGCAGATAGCAGACCTCAACTATGATATCAGCCCATAGCAAAGTGTCCCAGAGTCACAAACAGATCCTAAATGTAGTCTTTATCCACACTGAATTACTCCTAATATTTGCCTTATTTGCATCTATTTTTAGTGCTGTATTTCTGCCTTTTTCATATTTATAAGTTGCTGGACTGCTTAAAAAGAGGATGATTGCATTCATGCATTGCTTAATTACCTTCATCAGAATATGCAGCCAAGTTCCAACACAGCCTTAAGAACAACAACTTTACTCAAACCATATGTGTTTCCCAAAAACATATGGTGTATATCTGTCAGTCTTTTATTGTGAAGTCTTTTAATGTGGAGTACCTGGAGGAGAAAGCGCCGTAAAACTAAAATACACACAAACACGCAACTCAGTGATTGCATGCAGTCCGCAGTGCATGAAAAGCTCTGGACCTAATATGTAACATTATTCTTTATTAACATGACAAGAGCAGCAGGTTCACAGCAGTCACATTCATTTATCTCCTTCACACACATGTTTAATGTTGGGCTCCAAACAGACCTTTAGGTCAGTCCAAATGAAAACTTGTATAAAACTTTTTAAATTATAATTAGGGATGCACCGATCCAGCTTTTTTAGTGATGATAGTGATTTTGATAGTGTGACTTTAAGTATCTGCCAATACCTGATATCAACTAATAGCATTTATTTCCTTTAAACAAAAATATAATGAGACAACAGTGATCCATATGTGTTATGTAACTGTTATTTATCTCTCAAGTAACTGCAAAATAACTTTGTATAAATAAAAGTTTAAATATTATGAGACTATATGAGCTATCTATGACCAGTCTTAATGCATAAATGTATAGGCTCAACCAGGATATTGGGTGAACCAGTATTCGTTATCCAAATTTGTCAGTATCGACATCGATATCAGACATTAATATCAGATTGTATGTATAACGTAATGTAGATCAGTGGCATAATTTCATAATATTGGTTAATGATTAGTTACTCCAATTAGGATTTGATTAATTGATTTGGCTCATTACAGTGATAAATTATCCAGGCATCATCATAAATATGCATGCTAAGAGACTATTATGCGTCATTTGTTTATGCCTGAACTATATGTCTTAATTAAGCATTCGTGTAACACCACCAGCTTACAACTAATTATCCTATTTTTCCTCCGTGTCATGTGGCTTACTGGCCACTATCCAAGGTGTACCCCAAGAACCATAGGTAACCCTGTCCTACTGGGAATAAGGAAAAAAGATGAATATATGTAAATTCTTTATAATTACACTAGCCAATATGTGTGTAATGTTTTGGTTGAAGTTATTTTCCCCCTAGCTAGGAATTAAGTACTGCAAGACAAGTTTTAATGTGAACAAAGTGGCTGTAACTGAAAAAAAAAATCTACAAAATAAAAAGCACTAATAATTTCTCTTGTTTCCCTGTCAATCGACTGCATGTGATATATTACTTGAGTCATATTTAATGGTACACCATGGACACATGTCATTTTACTATAGGGTTGTTAAATCTTGAGAAAAAGCAGTTCCACATAGAAGCACTGTTGGTGGCCAGCTCGGTGATAAAGGACATGACTGCAGTTGCAAACCAAGCACTGTGCAACCTTTGTCTATGACCATTGTGAATGTTGTGCTCCCATATGTTCAATTACATATCCGTACTCTCTGTAACACTAACATCTGCACCAAAACATAAGGCAGACTCGCTATGTCCCCAAACAGCCATAGTCACCGTACAGGCCACACATTTGGCTGCACTTTGACTTAAGTGTCCCATTTCCTCTCATTGGATTTTCCCTGTCCACTTTCTCACACTCTGTCTCTCTGTCTGTTCATTTAAACCCACTCCTTGTTCTCCAGATCCAAACCATTACGGGACTGTGTTATTTTAGCCACACACACCTGGCTCGCGCTCTGCTCTGGCCGCTACACCTTCTCACTTCATCATGTCTTATTGTGCGGAGTTTTCCTCACTCCCCTGGACCCCGCATCGGAAATGAGTTTTAAAGTAGAACCATAAATAAGCTCAAAATATTTAGAGCTGCAGGCCTATATGCTGGAGTTTATTTGTTTCTATGGGAGACAACGCTTTTTCACAATAGAATAATGAACTTCGCGATATTACAACCGCTGCACCCCCTACAACCATTTTCCTCATAAGATGTTTATTTGCTATACAAACGTTATCTATAAGTGTGCTGACCTAGATGAAATTTACCGCATTAATTATCTTATCCAGTGGCCTTGCGGGCATAAATGTCTCCCTTAAGTTATGATGGAGAAGTTTTATTCAACCCGAGGGAGAGCTGGAAAAATATTAGCGTTTACTAATTTAATTAAGTTCAATGCTTTGACACAAATTTATATGAGAGAAAACTTTCTGACATTGTGTATATTTAATCCATGGTGGCAACAGCTTTTTAGAGGTCTTACTATTTAGAGTTTTTGTAATGGTAGTGATTAGTTGTAACAGAAGCAGAAGTAGTGGTACTAGCAGTTGTATTAGTAATGTCAATATAAGTTATCTGTTATGTCATAGTACTAATAGAACTAGTACAGGGGTGGGGCAAACTTTTTGACTCCTGGGCCACAAAGGGTTCTAAAATTTGATGGAAAGGCCATCCCAGGAACAAATAGATGGAGTTTGTTGGTAATGCATCTCATAAGAGAAAAAAATATGTAGAAAGGGATATGTACGGATATGTAGAATACATATCCCATGTTATTGAAATATCCAATAATTGAAATCATTACAAAGCATTACAACAAAATATCTGTCTTTCAAGTTCCACAGTATTTACTATTTATTGAAATGACTTTTAAAACACTGAACATTATTATTATCATTATTATTATTATTATTGAAGTTCATCAGGCCAGATTAAAAAGGTTAAAGGGCCGCATATGGCTTCCGGGCTGTAGTTTGCCCACCCATGAACTGTAGATTGTAGAAATTATAGTAATAAAATATAGTTGTTATTGCCAAAATATTAGTTGCAAAAGTGAAAATGCATAGCACAGGATTTCATGTTTTTCTGCTTATTATTACGTTGTTTGGGGGGATAGTATCTGTGGTAAACATTTATCACAGTTTTACATCAGTGTAGAAAATAGGCTGAAATTGAGCTGAGTTCTCATAAGAAACCCCTCTAGCTAGGCCATCATGCAAATTTACCAAAATAAAGCTGTTTTCATATATTTTTCTTCATCAAACAGTAATTATTGTTTACATTAGATGCGCTTTTGCCCTTGTTTACATCCTTGTTGTTAGATAACAGTTACTGCTATTACTTCTATTTGCTCATATCCAACCATAAATAACTATTACGCTAAGCTGTCATGTGCACTGTATGACTATTAAAACCTTTTGTAGAACTTTCAATTCTCTCTTGCCATTCTAATCTTGCTCTGAATACACTTTTGTCATCTCCACTTGCCCTCTGCTGTAAAACACTGATGTATCCTTTATCTTCATGTATCTGTGCTCTGATTAATGCTGCTGTCTGCTCTCTCCACAGACTACCATTTGAGCAGGATGTGGAGCAGGGGAACGTGGCCCACCTGGGGGACTGTGACGGTGAGTACCCCCCTCCTTCTCTTCTGCTTCTGTCTGAGGAGAAGTAAAGATGTTAGCTCTCCTCCAGCTCGAGGCCCCACACAGAAACACAGTCTTTTCAGTGTAAACAACCAAATATGCAAAGTGAACGAAGCACAAATGCCAGTGTAGTGTGAGTTTAGGCTGGGCAAATCTACAAATAAACAGTGGGACAAATCTGTCTCTGTCTCTGTGCTCTCTGGTATCTGACTTCTCCTGGGAGCCACCGCAAAGATACAGCACGCAAAGACACTCTACTACTTTCATTTTGTTTTAAAGCTGCCCACAAATCCCTGTGTAAAGATAGTGTGTACTGTACTACCCCAGATTTTCCATTGTCATAACTCAACATCCAGCCCCAGCAAAGAACTGTTTCTGTTTTGAGCCAGTTTGCCACAACACAAAACTACAAATTCAGGGTTACCATAGGGATGCTCAAATTAAAATCTGGTCATAATAATTGGATTCAAATACGGAAGTTTTGTAAAAAGTTCAGTTTTAGGAAGTATAAAGTTTTGTGGTTCATGTTTTAAATACCATAAAAGATTTTGCCTTTGTGGTCTTCCAACTTTTGGGTCAGACACACACTCAAAACTGAGAAGTACTTTTTGTTTGTATGCTTGTATCAGTTATGTGAGTAATAATTTATTTTGAACAGGCATTTTTTCAAGACATTGAAAAATGGTCACCCCTGTCTGTAACTGCTGTAGTGAGTCTGGTCAGTTTGGTCTTAAAATGTTCATATAACCCTGTCTACTGGACCCTGTTTGTTTTTTGTTTTTTTTTTGCTATTTTGGCCATAAATAAATTCCTATTCCTAATATGGATCTGGCTCCAAATTCATGACATCGTATTAGTCCACTACTTTATACAGTCTATAGTGCCAACGTAACACAGAGCATTAAAATCTATTGAGAACATTCACTTTAAAAACTCACACACTTTTAAAATCGAAACCTAAACCTAAAAACCTACTAGGAAAAATCTAAATAAAAATAAATAAAAAAACATTATATATACTTTCTGCTGAAACTAACCCAGGATCTTTTTCAGTTTTTTTGTGGCATATACAGTAAAGTGCCTAATTATCCCAACCCATGCTTGCGCCCCTCTTGACATTTCCCATTTTAACTCTCCTCTCATCATCATGAACAGAACCAGTGCACTCTTTACATGCGCAGTTTTGGGTTATTCTCCCTAGATACCTCCTCTCTTTGATCTCCGCTCTAAATCTGATGCGTGAAAAGTTCTACCAAGTTCATGCGCGGTGTTTTCCCTGAAAGCAGAGCCGATAAATATTGCATAACGTTGTACTGGTGCACTGTTTGATGCTGCTCGCCGAATCGGGCCGCCTTATTGGTCAGCCACAGGGGATGCTCGCTTTGTGCTCGCTGATAGAGGAGAGATTATTTGTCTTCATTAGGACCATATGTCAAAAGCATATGGACAGACTAAAGCATCATATCCAACGCTCTTTCATTAGCAGAGCATGATGAGTAATTGCTATTCTGTTTGTTGGGTTAGGAGAATGGAGAAATGTGAAAGAAATGAGTTTGTCTTCAGACCAGACTGTACTTATGCTGGAAGCATGTAATTAAACAGGCGACTTGGACAATTATTCCATGGCCACAATTGGGTTCAGTGTTGACAAATCACAGGAAAGAAAATAATGTTTGTGTTGTTTTAGGGTTTAATTGAGTGTCTACAGGGCAACAAGCAAATATTTACATTGCATGATTACATTAATCTAACAGATGTACCCAAACACTTTATAAACCCTTAGCTTTCATTAGAGGTCACAGGAGCTTAGAGCCTGGCCCCCACAGCAATATGGGTTGACGATGTACCATGGCCAGGAATAGCCATAATAGTTCAGGCGCACATTCATACATTCACACAGGCATGCACTCAAAGACAAACAAGTCCTCACAAGTTTTGGAGATTTTGTTTTGTAGCCTATAAATTTTAAATAAACAAAAGAAAGACTTATTATTAGCTAAAATGCAGAGAGCCCTCAGCAGGAGTCCTATCAACTCAATGTTGGGTTGTCAGAACAATCACATAAAAGAGAATATTTTAGGCTTTCAGCTGTTTCTAATGCACTCTGAGACACTCTGCTGAAATGAGCAATCCAAAGACACACTGATCACAAAGATCATATCACATTGTAACATCAGAATGACTGCAGTAAATATAAAGACAAACATTTTATAACATTATTCATACAAGTCAATAATGACTATAAACAACATGTCCGATGTTACAGTTGAGATAACTGAAGTTACTGAAGAACATCTCAAAAGTTGGGGCAAAGACTACAGACAAGCTGTCTAATTACAATTTAAAATCTCCCACCCTCTTTGCTTTAGTACAGTGGGTTCAAGTCCAGGGAACCGGACCCTTAAGAGGGGTGCCAGAGATGGCTGTCTTCAGAGCCAGTAGTAAGTAATTCAAGGTAAAACAAAGATTGGAACCACTACTACTTCAAGTACTACTTAAATGATTGATTGAGTTCATAAACAATTCCTTCTCACTTTTTCCACCATATTGTGCTGCATATTGTTTTCATGTTACTCTTGAGAGAGTGTTAGTGCTTGTGACAGATGCTAAGCTCCCTCAGGTATGGTGTTGTCAATGAGCTAACAGTCTGTATTGACAACCATTACCCCTCACAGCAGTTCCCCTGTATCTGTTCTGTATCTGCTCTGTGATGATAGACCGTGTGCCTGCTGGATACGTTTCAGAATATCACTTTTCGGGTCTGACACTTTCATTGTCAGTGATGCTTTCTCATTGTTTCCACTTAACACAGCCTCCATCGCTCATCGTCTGCTTAAAAGACAAAGAGCTTTTCTCAGCAGAGTGTAAAAGCTGAGACAAAAAGGAACATTTTCACTCTGCTTGTTATGACAGTCTGTCACCTATACTGCAAATACTTTAAAAAGCCTCCCTATCTTTACCATATAAGGAATTGTTTGCTCTGTTCTTCCTCTTTTAAATGATGACTGATCACTACAGTCCGCCGTCATTTAACAAACACCAAACTGAGCTATAGACACCAGAGCTTTTAGTCAGATGTATGGTGATTGAGAAATTGAGAGCCTTGTAGTGCTGATGATTGTCAGAATAAGCATTGCTTTCTTTTTGTGGCCCATCAGGATAAATATGAGGCCTCATATAATAATACAGCATTTTGATGACCAAATGGCATGTTCTGTTGTGGTGCAGTAACTGGAAAACTACAAAGGTATCCAGAATCTAGCTTAAAACTACTTGTCACTGTTGTCCCTTGTTTGGAGTCTTGTCATTGAAAACGTATATGTGATAGACAAAAAGAACTACAGTTTGGTCACAAAAAGTCAATCTTCTTATGCAAGTTTACATACAAAGCTAAACTTTGCATGAAAGTATAAGAAACAGACATTTTCCCAAAAAGGTCATTCATGGCTTCCACAGTGCTTGATATTTACTTTTTTACAACAGACCTAAAATCTCACAATCTAAACTCCACTGGGACACACTTTGTAGATTTCAACCTAATATCACAGTATGGTGTGTGGTACATTATATCTACACTGGCCGGTGCTGTCCAGTAGTTTGGATGCCACTTATTGTTTGACTAGGCCTCTTTGGGAAACAGGATGATCCCATTTCTGTGTTTTTTACGTCTGAAACAAGGTGTGTCTTGGTACAGCTGCATGTTGAGCTTCATTTTCCCCTCACTGGACCGGTTCATAATCAGTATCCTCACAGCTCCTCTGCCACAGAGATAATGGAATCAGAGCCATGTTTTCTGTTGTGAAGCAGCACAATACGGCTCCTATAGGGAGGCTGAAAAGACAGGAACAATGTTTTACTCTGGGAAAATAAGGAGAGTGGAAGGCTTACGGAGGGATGCTTTGTGCTAACATCTTGTACTCCACTTGAGTTGTGGCTGTTGCTGTAGCAGGTACATCTTGTATATTTGAGATATTGTGTAAGACATAAGCTTCAGGTAACTCAGATGACTGGAAAGGGATTCAAATTTTAAATTACCATATAAGACAATACTCCTCTGACATTTTGTAAACCTTGACAAATGGAGATAGGTTTAACTGTGAGCTGCAGTCATGCCTCAGACCTTACTTTTCTAGTGCATTTGTAGACTGTATGTATAAATGGACACAGCTAACCCACTAGCTGCCACGTTCCAATTGGGTGTGCTTCTGGCTCCATTGGCTCCGCTCCAATTGACTTTGTTTTGAAAAAACATTGACCTCTCTTTGTAGCTACTGCTGTCAGGCTGATATTAAAATGTTTGTATTAATCCACTCTACATGATCCTGGTGTTTTTATTTAGCTCTTTTGTCCGTAAATCAATTCCTATTCCTAATATGTAACTTGGAACAAATTCCCTCACTATAACTGCTCGAGTCAGTGAGCTTCATTTGACTAGAGCCAAACGCTATGGGTTTCTTAGTCCACTTCTTTACATATGTCTGTTAACGGCATTATTTTCCGACAATGGTCACAGTGACTAGGCAACTGAAGCAAAGTGATTTTTTTACTCTATTACACAAAATTAAATTTAGTAGCTGTTATTTCTTACTTTTTAAGAGCTTTGTGACATCAGTGTTTGAAACTATGCATCATAAATTAGACTGTAGATTGATAAAGATGCATGAGTTTTCTTGTCTCTGTATTGAAAAGTAGTTTGTCAGTAATGTCTTTGTATGTCTGTCAAAACGGCTGTTCTCAAGTGCTATGCTTTTATGGTAGACCTGTCAATCAAGTTAAGTTATGTTTGAAAATATACAAAAGACACAAAAGGTTAATATTTCATCTGCTTTTTGAATCACTTTTGTTGTATTGGATTGACAAAACAGTGTTGTTTGGAAATTGTGTGCAATCTTTCAAATCACTCAATCATTTAACTGTAATTTTTTGAGTCATGTCCTCATTTTTGAGAACTGTAAATGTTTTGTTCAATTGGCAAGCTGACA